CGCATTTAAGTTGATATCATTTTAAAGTTGATGTCATTTTGATATCGCATTTTTCGGAGAGCGTAATGAGTAATGTGAAATTGACATCAAAACAATATCACAATTAGCGGGCATAATTGGCCTGCAGTTGTGTTGTTTGTATCAGGAACGAGTAAACGAGTATAATAACATGTCGTTCGGCGATCATAAAGAGTTTTGGCAAGAATTTATCCTGCTGTTTAAAGAGAAAACTAAAGAGAAACAGGTGGTTTACAGGTCTGAATGCATTGCAGCAATTTTAAATGAGTATATTTTGTTCGTTGTTTCAGCCATTCCTTTGTTCAAACGCGCTTTTACTTTTTATTTTCCGTTAAAAGTATTGCACCGACAACTAAAGCTACTTTTGTGCGTTTGGAAAGCACCGGTGGCATGGTAGGGTAGGGAAGAACGATACGCGCGAGGCTCACCAAAGTACACAAGCGACTGGACTGCAACTCGACGCTCGTGTAGTGTGTGGGCAATGACGGATTTGTCCACGGATGGGTACGGCTCGGGGTTCGGCTCGCGGTGCGTGTAGTGAATGGTGGGCTTTAGTGTCTTGATAATAGTATACATGTACTTCCACTAGGGATGCATAGTCTTTTGAAATATCGATATATATATCGAAGTCAGGAAAATATCGATTTCCGATATATCGACCATTTTAACTCGATATTATCGATATATCGATATTTTTTCCTTTTTATTTTTTATTGACTTTAGAATACGGGGTAAGTGTGACACATTCATATGTTTGTTGGCGAGTTTCTCGCAAAATGCATTGAGCCAGCTTTCTCGTTAAACACGCTGGATAAAATCGCGCCAAGCAGGATTTTTTTATTGGCTCGTACGGTTTGTGTTTCAGCCACAAAAGGAAACTAAAAAATTAAAATTATTACCCTGATCAGATCACTCACATTCATTAGCACGAATGCGCCAACCCGCATATGTAGGACGACATTTGCGAATGCCTTCGCTAAGTTTTCACTACATTCGTGCTTTTCCAAGCTATGTCGGTTTTTTAGCGCACATCAAATACGCAAATTACTTAGTCTCCCACACATCAGGGGCGTGCCCATGGCTTCAGAATAGGGTAAGCCCAAAGCTTCCAAAATTACTATACCTATCTTACTTTCTTGACTTGGCGAGCTTAAAAAATTTACGATTTGTATAAGATTCTTAATTTTATTTTGTGTTATATTACAATGATATTAAATTTCAATTATTCAGTAGTTAACAATTATCTAGAAAGAGAGGCAAGGATTTTATTTAAGTGCATGAGTTACCATTACGTATACGATTATACCTATATACGTTGGTGTCGATTCTGGCATGATTATCTAAACTTAAAACTAAATTGAACATCAGTCTCTCCTTTTCATTCTGTATAGATTATGACAAGAATACACTGTTGTCAAATTTAATTGTAGGTTTAGAGAATCATGCTAGAATCCACACCAGTTTAGTATATTTCTTGGGGTTCAAGGTTTTTTTAATACATCTATAAGCTCTTGCGATTTTAAAGCAATAGTTATTTCGATATTATTCAATTTAGATAGTCAAGGCAGGAAAATTAATTGATATTATTGTGTTCAAATTTAGCCTACGAAATATCGATATTTTGGTCTCGATATTATCAATATTCCGATATATTGTTGCAACCCTAACTTCCACCCTTGTGGGATACTGTAATACCATTTCTCCTACAAATATTGAATAGTAATCACAATATAAGTATTTTCTACCTACGCCTATCTTTATTTGACGTCAGGCTTCTCACACTCCCCCTTCGCCCTCCCGGACATTCTTACAGTTTTATTAAATAATAAATATTATAAATATGAAAACAGTGATCAGAGGCGACGAGCGTCCCAACATGTGCGACTAAGAGATCCTAGTACTATTTTGTTGGAAGCTTTTTTTCGAGACTTACGAGTAATGTGCGGTTTAGCGGCCGACTTCATGGTGTTACTTTTCTGTTACAGTGTTGCGCGCGCATCTTAAAATTTCACTCTCATCATTTTTTCATAACGCGCCCGCGGCTAACTTCATTATGTTACTTTTGTGTTACAGTGATGCGCGCGCATCTTAAAATTTCACTCTCATAATTTTTTCATAACGCGGCTAAAGAAGTATAACTTCAAAAAACTTGCGCAGTTCCGTAAGGTAAGGTTCCGTACCTCGGTTAAACTGAATTCTGGTAGGTGTACATGTATGTCTGTGACCCACACACTAACGAATAGAGTAAATAAATAAATGCTGAATATGAGATGAGGGTTACTTTTGGGGGGTGAATTAGGTTTTTTTTTTTAATTTTATTCTTATTTTTTAAGCAATTGAAATGAAATGAAATGAAAGTTTATTTGCATGAAACATAGTTTGTTACAGCTGGTAATATATAAAAAGTTCCATATGTTTCGCCCTTGGGAGAGCATACAAAATACTAATAAATTATATAAAAATTCAAATTTAAATTGAGTAATAGTTGCATTCCAAATGTCAAATTTATTATTTATTTTATTTTTATTTATTCAATTAATACATGTCAAATTTCCTTATTCAATAGCCATTTCTTCATTATGTCAACACAATTACAATAATTAATAAATATTTATAATAACTATACATTATATTACACATACAATGGTGTCGATTCTAGCATAATTCTCTAAGCCTAAACTTAAATTTGACAGCAGTGTATCTATAGTATATCTTGTCATTCTCTATACAGAATGAAAAGGAGAGACTGATGTTAAATTTAGTTTTAAGTTTAGAGAATCACGCCAGAATTGGCACCAATACATGTCATTTTTTTTAAGTCAATAGCCATTTCTTCATTATGTCAACAAAATTACAATTATTAATTCATAATTAAAATTCATTTGTACTATAAAAACATTTACTTATTAACCAGTCCTATAACTTTTTTGCCATTAATTTTACAGGTCTGTGCTTGAATTGATTTGGAATTCTATTGTATACCTTAATACACATGTTATAATAGCTTTTCTGGTACACCGAGGTTTTTGGTGCAAAGTCCAAAACAAATCTATCACCATCTCAAGCGTTTCGAGGGTATATATCTTTAGCCTTATGAAATAACCCCGGGTTTTGGCTGACAAATTTAAATATTTCTAATATATACTTAGCAGAGACTGTGAGTAAACCTAAACTTACAAAGAGTGGTCGACAACTATCAAAGGGACCTTTACCACATATAGCTCTCACGCATTTCTTTTGGGCAATGAAAACTCTTTGAATGTCTGTACTATTGCCCCACAGAAGAATCCCGTAATTTATAACAGACGCTACATAACCGTGGTAAGCAGACAGGGTCACTTTCAGAGACGTTTTTTTAGACAAATTCCTCAGTACGTAAACAAATCTATTAATTTTAATACATACTTTGTCAACATGACCAATAAAATTTCGGCTTTCGTTTAATACAATTCCCAGGAATGTCAACCTCTGTGAGCCTTTTTAATAGTCAAATCGTGATATTTAATGTTAACGTCACCACTTGAGCGGCCTTTTACAATAAAATTTACATAGTTAGTCTTACTTAAATTTACGTGAAGATTATTTGCACCAAGATATTTAATTATGTCAAAAATTGATTTATTTATGTCATTTTCATGATCGCTTATGTCACTATAATAATTAGATTCAATAATAACCGAGATGTCATCAGCAAATATTATACATTGATTTTCTGTCACTTTTGGCAAATCGTTGGTGTACACTAAGAATAAAGGAGGGCTCAGTACGGTACCTTGCGGTACTCCAAATTAGATTTTTTCATATTTAGAGCGTTCCGAAACAACTGTATTCCTATTATCTATTCTATTAATTTCTACGCATTGATATCTATTATCCAGATATGTTTTAAGCCACGAGAGACAACGTCCGCGGATGCCGTACTTTTCTAATTTGTCAAGCAATACATAATGCACTACGAAATCGAACGCTTTGGACATGTCAAAGAAGAGACCATTAGTTCGTTGTTTTTTATCAAGTCCTAATGTGATTTTATGTACTACTACTCAGACTGGCGCCGTAACGCGTTACGTAACGATAAAAAAAAGATATTCATAAAATCATATTTTCTGAATATCCTCCTAAATAAATGGGCATAGAGATTGGTAGATGAAAAGGGGTTTGGAGGTCAAAAGGGGATTAGATTTCATCCTTGAATCCCCTTTACAGGGTGTAAAGGGTGAAAAGGGAGTTGAGGGTAAAAAGGGGAAACCGAAGGTGAAAGGGATTCGAGGGTGATAATAGGGGATTGGTGGGTGATAGTGGGGATTGATAAAGGTAAAGGAATGGGGTGGATCTGGAGACACTCCTCTGATACCTGGATGGGCTATGAAGGTTCGATAAAAATAAAAAATACCGTCAAGAATACTTACGGTGCCTTGTATGGCGTGCGGTAAAATGTTTTACCGCACGCTCCGCCGTATGGCCCGTTTTGAACTTTCGCACAATGAATACAATCTCCGTAAACGCATATTTTGAGCAAATGTGTTAAAATAATATACTTTACATCAGCTTATGCTCTTGTTTAATGTTAAATGTTTATTGTTGAACTTGATAGCTGAAATATATTTATAAAATATATTTATCAGAATTTTAAATTAATATCCGTATTTCGGCATAGAGGTGGAAGTTGGGGATCGGGCAGACTTGGAATGGAATGCTTCAAGCCCGTGTATGGCGGCTCTAAAATTTCACGAAAAAGTTCTTGCATTTTAAAATAAATCATGAGTTTTAAAGCAAAATAAAATAATATGGGCAAATTGTAGATAATTCAATTCTTTTTAAAATATATATCACTGAAATATATTTTAGACAAGCATTTGAAAACACTTGTTGTCCTTATTTGAACTTAGCTAAAGCCTTTTTTAAATTTATTCTAGATCTGGTGTTGGAATGTCCGTGGCAACGAGGCTGGGCGAGTGTCTGCAGGAACTTCAGTGCGCGGATTACAGCACCAACGAAGTAGCGCCAGCGCGCAGAAGCGACGCAGCGGCAAGCTGGCTGCTGGCTCTGGTGTGAGAAGGGACCCTGAAGCGAGTCACATTGTCAAGCTCTGAGCAGAACTCGCTGTTGTCAGCGCTGCAAGTGGCGGTGGGCCCGCTGCACGCGCGCTGCGAGCGCCTGGCTTGCATCTTCCGCACGCAGCTCGAGGACTCCTTGCTGACAGAACGTTCTTCATTATAATTCCTCTTGGACGGATATTTGGGCGCTGCAAAGGCCTCCAAGCTTCTAAAAGCAGGACTCGACGAAAGAGTAGCACTTCTCGCCGAATCATCGAACGCTTTCGCCAATACTCCAGCGATTCCGACGACGACGGCAGCGAGCTACAGGCTAAATAACCTTACGCCGGCGTGCCCTCTTCCCACACTTGGTGGACGCGTTAATTTTACCAGTTAGTTTCCACGGTTTCAAGATGGAATTGGGAAATGTTATTAACAGCATACCAGTGTTCGGACATATTAAAGCTGGCTTCCACATGTTAACTGGGAATCCACGTGAAGCAGCTGAGGCTTCCAATTCTGCAAATAGATCAACAGCCGTTGTGGCCGGCGGAGCCGCAACAGCTTTAGTTATTGGTAAAATAGGAATTATCTTCGGGGTTATAGCTGCCAGCACAACTGTTTACTATATATATTCCCTTGCCAATCAGAGCACCGAAGGTGTGATTAAAGAATTGGGGGTTATCGATAAAGATATCTCTAATAACGAATTTCCAACATCGTCATTGTTAAAGACTGGATTACATGTCGGTGCAGATACACTTAGCGGTGCTACTGGTAGAAGTGTCGCCGCCAACATACCTAAGGTGGTAGGTAAATCTTTCCTAAAGGATGCAGTACCTGTTGTTGCTAAAAGTACACTAAACTCTAGTGGCTCCTCTGGAGGCTACTCTAGCTTTACCTACACTAATACGTGTACTTCGGGAGCCGATTCTATAAATTCAAACTCTTACTCAGGCAATAAAAGTCAGACTATCAAAACTAATTCTAAATCGTCTAATAATGATAGTGGAGGGCAACCCCCTCAAAATAATAGTAATTGTAATAGTAATTTTAATAATGCAATCTATATTCAGTATTGATGATTACATATAAGTGAATTAGATCTAAGAAAAAAATCGGACAAGTGCGAATCAGACTCACCCACCGAGAGTTCCGTACAAAGTAGGTACGCAACATAAACGGCCGTATCTTTTTTTTACTTTATCTTAGAAATCTGGTATTTTTACAGCGTCTAGGCTCCGTAGATTTAAGTATATGGTTTAAATTTTAACCCGATACCCGTGTTCCCGAGATAAATGACGTGCAGCTTCACCTGTTCAGGTTTGATAATTTTCTTGTACTTGGTTTCTTCTCTTGATTTTATCTTATCCGTGGTATAGATAGTAACCGAGCTTATGGTTTTGGGATCGACTTCATTTTTCTTAAACATATCGGCAAATAAGACGGTTCCTGCTACTGGTATTGAGCACTCAATACTTTCTTTCAGATCCTGGAGTCGTTGAGAGAGATCATGTTTCTCTTTAAGGGCTTGGAATTTTATATGGGTCTGCATCTTTTTCTTATTTATTCCTCTAATACATTAATTAAGCTTACAACTACATTATATTCGCCAAACTGTAGGCAAAGAGTTTGTTGGCGTGGTAAGCCATCATGAGTTTATACAATTGTGGATATAAACAAAATTAAATTGTATTGAATTTCTGATAGGTACTTCGAAATGAAATAGGATTACTTATGTATTTTAAACAAATGTTCTTTTAATTTCCTTTTAATGGCTCTTAATCCCAATTTTTCTTCTACTCTTAAAAAATCTGTCTCATTATATAAATCAGGAATAACATACTTTGTGTATTTTTTACCATAATATTTTTTTAACTACTGATTTACTAACTTGCCCTCTTACTTTTTTGGTATTATATTTGTTCTGTGGTTTACTTTTATATTCATCACTAAAATAATGTTCTACAAATAATTAAATATATAACTTTACTTTCTGTTAGCAATATTCTACAGATTTTAAATTATTTGTTATAATCCTTTTTACACTGCTTTTTTACCTTTCTATTTATAAAGTATTTGAATAGCCTAATTTGCATTTTTTTTATTTCTTGGAGGTATATTGGAAATGTTTGACCATATACACTTAATCCGTATGTTACAGAACTATCCACCAACCCATAATACACCATATACATAGTTTTCTTGTCTACCACAAAGCTCAATAGTACTTAACCTTTTACATACCCCTACTATTTGCATTTTCCAATTAAAAAACATTTCTAAAACTAAGCCTAAATATTTAAAGTTTTCGACAAAATCTAATTTTGATGAATCACAATTTTTTTTTACTATCAAGTCATTTATAGCGGTGACCGGTGATACCTTTATCATTATAATTTATATGCTCAACTAACTAATTAAATGTTGAAAATACATGTATGTACTTAGTATTACTGATATTTAAAATAATGCCATCAACATGAGCCCATTAAGTAATACACTCAAAGTCACATTGTACGGCCTCCTGCATTTATTAACATCTTTAGAAGCAAATAACAAACTCATATCATCCTCATACATAAGCATTTGTCAGTTTTTAATAACATTACTGACACTGTTAACATGCATCACATAACCCAATGGACCAAATACAGAGTCAATCGGTACACCAAGTTGCACAGCGGCTTCTGCACCCACTGTCCCATCCACTTTTATTTTTAGGTAATCACTCAGAAGAGACTTTTTGTTGGGCCTCTGAACCCGCACTCATCTATCGCTTGTAATAGTATATTGTGATCTAACGTATCGAATGCTTTTTTTAAATCAATAAATAATATAAATACTTGTTCTCCCTTATTTAAACTATCAATAATTGACTCTCTAAATTGTGTGAGTGTGGTTATTTTTCGGTAATTTGTATAATCAAAGTGACATAATTAGTAAGTGGAATTCTTTACCCGCGCACGTGTTCCCTCCTTCCTATAATCTGGGGTCCTTTAAGAGAGGCGTGAAGAAGCATTTTTGCGGGCCAGCAAGGTGAGGATGTTTGGTGTCTTCGCGTTTGGACTTTGTCACCACTTAACATCAGGTGGGGTAGAGTCACTTGCCTACCTAGTTATATAAAAAAGACTTCCATCCTTAGATACAGGGCGTATAATAGATTTTTTTAATGAATCGGGATATTGTTGATAAACACATGTTTATAAAGGAGGCAAGGATGGGGTCAACTCATTCTTTTTTAATCTTTTATTCTAATACTATCCAAACCTGGGGCTTTTTTTTTTATTTTGAACTAACTGTATTTTTCGACTTACTACTTTTTACATAAGTGTTACGATCCAAAAACTTCATAGTATGTACAAGAATGCTTAATATTTGTTATTTATTTTGCAAAAGTTTCTTAAAACTTTAAATTTGCTTTAAATATCAATTCATCATTATCATCATCATCGACCCATGTTCGTCCACTGCTGGACATAGGTCACCCCTAATGCACGCCACTGCTCCCGATTTTGTGCTACTCTCATCCAGCCCACTCCAGCCAGCCTACGAATATCATCATCCCATCTTTTCTCAGGGCGTCCTACACTGCAATATCATTTAATTTAAATTATTATTGCTGATAACCTATTTTTTTTATAATTTAACTATTAGCGTTTGGTCTAAGGCTAAGTAGGCTGCTGCTGAATATCAGTATCGTGGCACATGCTGCCACGTCATATACCGAGCAGTGGCCTATTTGGTACAAAATCTTTATATAATACAATAAGTTATTTTTGTAATTTGAGCCAAATAAACGATTTATTATTTATTACATTATTATTATTATTAATCAAAGCGAATTGAATACGACAGCTTGCCCCAAGCTTAGGTAGGTTCTGGACCTTATTCTGTCACGATTCTCTAAATCTAAAACCTCAGATTAATGATTCATCATTCATCCATCTATGAGAGTCATTAATCTGAGTCTAAAACCAAATTTGACAACGTTTACTATTATGTTTTATAGAAAATCGGAGGGAAATACTGCTTTTCAATAAGAGATTCTCACTAGCGAAATATGGTCGAATGCCCCTTGATAATAAATAATAATAAATCCAAAGCCTAGCCCCAAAGTAAGCACTATAAGGTTTGTGTTATGGGATACTAGGGTAACGGATAGGATACATATACTTTACATATATAAGTATATTTATATAGAAATACATATTAAACATCCATGACTGGAGTACAAATTCTCGTGTTCATCACACAAACGTCTGCCCCCACCGGGATTCGAACCCGGGACCTCTCGAGTCGGCGAGACGCCATGAAACCCGGCGTACAAACCACTCCTCCACGGAGGTCGCCAAATCTTTAAATAATAATAAATGATAATAATAGTAAATGATATCATTCAGATATGAAATGCAGTTTATAGTATCGTAGGTAGGTAGTACCTAGTAGTAGGTAGTTTCCGTTTCGCACCCGTAAGACTTGCGGGAGGCTAGGTCCGTTCGTTGGTGTGTCCCTTAGTGTCGCCGCACACGGGCCACCGACCACAACCACAAAACGCCACCACCGGCTTATTTTTTGTAGTTTTCATATATTTTATATGGACTCGCCACACACGATACGCCGGTGGCCACCACACGCGTCAAATCGTCGTTGCTCACTTCTTGTGGCCCGCACCGGCCGCTTAATGCGCCGATACAAAATGCCGCCACACGTCACTCGCGCGATTCCCCACCCCTCTCTCCCTTGCCTTAGTCGGCCACTTTAGTAGCCGCTTCTAGCTTCTCGTGGCGGCGTTTGTGGCTGTGGCGTGTGGCCCGTGTGCGGCGACACTTAAGGGCGCCAACGTCTGTAAAGAGAGAATTTGCCTGCTTAATAAAAAAAAAGTGAGGTAGTACCTACTTTAAAGAAATATTGTCGTTCTTGATCTTTTGTTATTAATATTCTTATTTAAAATATCAATAAAGCTGTATGAACACATTAGACTTTTCCTTGATTCAAGAAATTTCACAACATGGTGACTAATGATGCATATATACATATTATTCCGCTACTGACGGAATAAAGTACTTTTGACGTGACCATATTAAACATCCATGACTGGAGTACAAATGCTCGTATTCATCACACAAACATCTGCCCCCACCGGGATTCGAACCCGGGACCTCTCGAGTCGGCGACACCATGAATCCCGGCGTACAAACCACTCGGCCAAGGAGGTCGCCAATGTATATAACTTTTCTTAAAAATTGAAGGCTGCAATTTTTTCTTGTAAAGTTTTTCAATAACAACGCATATTGTTTATCGATTGATCTACGTTTATTGAT